CTGTGCCACGAGGTCCCACCGAAAACCGTAATTGTAACTACTTTCACATGGCCGCAGGCGAAATCTCACACGCGCGTCATATTCACAGAGGATTTATTAATATACCTGCAGCTGCAGATGGCTAACCCAAGTCCCCGTACGGGAGGATGGGGACAAGATTGTGCATAAAAGTACTTTGACCTTCTGTTAATGTCGGCACTTGCCAACCGGAAATTATTGACACAAGCATGTAATCACAGCTAGGATGGAGCCTTAGATCAGATGGACTTGCAAGGAGGCCAAAGGGTCAAGCTTATAGTGCAAATTCCTTACTGTGAAGAATAACAGAAAGCAAGAGTGCTGTTCTAACTAAGGGAGTTATAAGCAGAAAAATCGCTGAAATTTAGCGATTGGTATGAAATGGATCTAGGAATTGGAGAGTGTTTGAGGGCAGACTCAACGATGTGGCTGATATACTAAATAAAATAAGACCCCTTCGTCTAGTCGCCCGTTTCTGGACATACGGCAAGGTTTCTTCAGCGGAGGCGGCGTTAATGGGGTCAGTTATCAGACCCATCATAGCAGGGAGATACCTTTCTACCCACTAAATTGATGGCGACAAGTTGAAATTCCATCAAGCACTCCCCTAGTCCCCGTCAGTGATGTTTCAGATGATAGAGTAAAAGGTGTATGCAGTAGATAGGACTAACTGAATTGGCTGAATCATGCAGAACTCGGTGACAATGGCCGACTGGTAGCCCGGAACAACAAGGGCACGGATTTAAGGAGACCGGGGTTAAGATGTCTCCACACATCGATGCCTTCTGCGAAACAAACCCTGAAGGGTGCGTCGTACAAACAACAACTATATGCGGAATCACTGTACCCAGCCCCCCCTCCTGTTCTAAATGCTCCCAGGCAAAATATCTCAAAAGATTTTGGTAAGGATTACTTATATGGCCACAAGTGACTTTGGATGAAATTCCAGATAAGTGAGAGGTAGTTTCAACTGTAACAGTGTGGTTTGGGATGGAGTTAGAGGTACGAGTAGGACAGTACTTTATTCATTGAAAGAACTTGTGAAAATACTCTGCGGCTCCGGTGGAATTTTGACCTAGACCAGCGAGGGGAAAGTTTTCGTACAGCCAACGCTTTAGCCAAATGGGGTTACGAGGTCCGGACAGGACCGTTGCCCACCCAACCTACTCCAACGTATGGAATTCACTAATTCTGATAAAGTAAGCTGAGTGCCCAAGCAGGATTTTCTAAGCAATCAACATAAAATTAATCAATCGATTTTAACCCTACCAATATTTTACATTCACTTTTCTATCAGGAATGTCTCAGACAAGCATGTGTGAATTGATATGCCACTGATTCTAGATACCACACCTGTCGGTCGCGTCTATGCGAAAATGTATTCCAGTACTTCGTTAATTTTAATTAATATCATTCCTCAATTTTGCAAAAATTTATGATTAATAAATATTGGATACCGTGAAATTCTGAATTCCACCTCCTATATTTAGGTAAGACTAATTATAGGGAAATTTCGGACGAGAAAATATTAACAATCGAATGGTCTTCTTGTCTTATATCTTATAGAGTTAATCTAAATTATTTTAATAATTGGATTTCGTTCTGATTCTGTCGGTGATTTACGGGTCTCTGATAAATACTTTCTGAGACGTTAGTTTCCCACTCTTCGGAAATGTTGCGAAACTACGCACATGTTAGCGCAGAATTATCGGCTTAGAATATAGAAGTCTTTTGGAAATCCAGCTGCATTAGACGAGACAGTGTTTATGGGCTGCGTGAGGGATTCCACCTGTCCACAGCACCTGTAATAGGGATTACGCGCAGCCTACCAAGATACCAAAAAATGAAACCTGTCATAAGTGTCCAAGACGAGAGAAATTAAAAAAAGAGCATATTATGTTTCGCGAATATTACTTCAAGTGAACGTCAATTGTGGTGCTACTGAGTGATGAGCGCATGTAACATTTACCTACTTTTACATAAATACTTCATAATATTCAACGAAAAGAGGAGAAGTAAACACGATCACTTGGACAAGAACTGTATTTGCAAGACGTTTCGGATTCCTTCTCGACCCCATCATCAGCGACAGAAGCTAGAGCAGAAACTGGGAGAATTACCCGGGTGAGAAGTCAGATGTCGTCTATCTCATTTCATTTTCAAATTTGTTCGAACACACCCCAGGGTCAGCAGAGTTCATAAGGTTGACCGATGTCGACAGGTAATTAATTTTTCGGACAGAAGACTAATTAAACTTACCTGCTTAGCAATCTTGGTAGAATTTGACTTCACAGCAGGAAAGGCATAGATTTAGTAAATCTGGATTTATAATAACGCAAATGGAACAGACAACGTGCGGCACTCTCCTGAAAAAATATAAAGTGTCTGATTTTTGAACGGCCTATATTTGCGAAATGGTTACTAAAATCCTTAATAAACGAAGCCGCCCATACCTCCCCCCAGTGGTCCCAAACTAAAGATCTCAAGGGACATTTTACATTCCTCATTTAATTAGGATTATCTCGAAGAAGTGTGGGCGAACTGATACGTGGCCCAACTGATACGTGCGCAGGCTGCTTTACAACGCTCATCTCCAACGCTCATCTCCAACTTGTTTGCTTTTTAGCATTACCAACTGACGCTTACCAGAGCCATCAGTCGAATGTGTGTTGTGCGTTTCGCGGTTGAAGCATGGACTGGGAGGCAAGCGGTGTTGCCTGT